ACTACCACTATGTAAACTGAAAAGTATATAAACTGACCACCTTTAGAAACTCACCATTCTCTAAACCAGCGGTATAAAATGATCATAATGGAAACTGACCATCATACAAACCAACTGCTGCATTAAATGACCATTGTGGAAACTGACCAGACCATATGACACATATTATTGTATTAAAAGATATCTGACCAATATACAAACTGATTACTGTATTAACTACCATGCAGACTGACCAAGTGCATTATATCTGACCACTTGAATTGGCTAAACACTGAATTTAAAAGATGTCACAAACCGATCGCAATGTTAATTAACCAACCTCAATATATATTGATTACATACAGACAGACCACTGTATAAATTGAATGCCTTACAAACTGACCACTGAACTGGCTATCAAACCAACCTCAATGCTAAAAGCCTACATTTCCCAGTAGTATCGATCGCCAATGTTTTTAATGTAACATACAATGTCACAATATTCTACATTCCTCCGAGTAAAACTATAATAAAACTATCAAACCAACCTCAATGCTAAAAGCCTACTTTTACCAGAAGTATCGTCAATGTTTTTAATGTAGCATACAATATCACAATATTCAACATTTCTCCGAGTAAAACTATAATACACGGTACTCATGTTTTATGTTTCACCGTTGCTAATAAAAAGAAATCTCTAGCACATTACCAACTGCAATACGATTTTATTTCTCTCTATATTGACCAGGATACCGAGATTATAGCTTCGTGTTCCACTCCGGTCTCCAAATCTATAAACCATCAGAATGCTGTGGAAATCAATGAGAAAAATCTATGGTAATTTGGCACTAATGTTGACCATAAAATGCCAGAAAACAGCTGTCACTCTGTCTTCTGTCTCCCGTCATGTCCGTTGTCCTCAAACAAACGACACAAGGGAGCTACATGATTGTCTGTTAATTTAATGTGGAATAGACAGACTACACTAATCACTGCAATAATCAGAGTTCATCATTGTCACGGTCCCCTAGGGGTCAGACCAGGGGACAGACAGTCCTGGGGAGACAGCTAGCTGACCCCGCTTGACCCCATGTGAAGGAGAGGAGATGTGTTCAATGGAGAGATGAGATAGTGGGGAGGGGGAGGGAGTTAGTGAGTGTAGAAAGGGAGGAAGGAGGTACATGGGAATTACAGGCAGATAGATGAATACATGGAAATAGACAAGTGATGGAAAGTGAGAGGGTAGAGTATCAATATGGAGTTGTGATAAAACAGGGCGGGGCAGGGGGGATGGATGGGTGGAAGACATATAGATGAATATATAAGGGAGGAAGGAGGTACATGGGAATACAGGCAGATAGATGAATACATGGAAATAGACAAGTGATGGAAAGNAAGAGGTAGGGGAGGGGCGAGAGGAGAGGAGATTATAGAGGGAGAGACAGCCGAAGGATGAATATTTCAGGTGATATAGAAGAAAGGAGGGGAAGAGAAGGGGG